AAAATTGAAGCCGTTTGTAATTGGTCAATCCCTCGTAATGTCGGAGAAATCCGAAGTTTCCTCGGCCTCGCAAGCTACTACCGACGGTTCGTTCCGAACTTTTCCAAGATAGCCGCTCCGCTCTCTCGTTTGACCCGAAAGGGAGTCAAGTATCAATGGACTCCCGAATGCGAGTCTAGTTTCCAAGAACTCAAGAAGCGATTAACCTCGGCACCAACCCTCGCTCTACCGGATAAAACCGGAAACTATGTGGTCTATAGTGACGCCTCCAAGCACGGGCTCGGAGCCGTCCTAATGCAAAACGGGAGTGTAATTGCCTATGCCTCTAGACAATTAAAGGACTACGAGAAGAATTACCCGACGCACGACTTGGAACTCGCGGCAGTCGTGTTCACCCTCAAAATTTGTGGTGAATTTTCTCTACGAAAGTACGTGCAAAAGTAGAATATAATGATTGAGGATGATGATAGTGATTATTATTATTATTATTATTATTATTATTATTATTATTATTATTATTATTATTATTATTATTATTATTATTATTATTATTATTATTATTATTATTATTATTATTATTATTATTATTATTATTATTATTATTATTATTATTATTATTATTATTATTATTATTATTATTATTATTATTATTATTATTATTATTATAATAATTATTATTATTATTATTATTATTATTATTATTATTATTATTATTATTATTATTATTATTATTATTATTATTATTATTATTATTATTATTATTATTATTATTATTATTATTATTATTATTATTATTATTATTATTATTATTATTATTATTATTATTATTATTATTATTATTATTATTATTATTATTATTATTATTATTATTATTATTATTATTATTATAATTATAATTATTATTATTATTATTATTATAATTATTATTATTATAATTATAATTATTATTATTATTATTATTATTATTATTATTATTATTATTCCCTAGTGACACCATTTTCCGTTTTCTTAGATATCAAAGCATCCTTGGCAAGCGCATCAGCTACTCGATTTTGTTCGCGGAAACAAGATTGAATACGTAGCCCTGGAAAAATAGCTCGACGACATCGACGAACCAGCTGAATGACTTCCCAATGAGGATCCGTCAAACCGTTAATCATTTTAACTCCAATTTCAGAATCCGATTCCACCACCACTTGCGGAAAACCATATTCCCCAGCAAAGACAATCGCATGCAATATCGTAAAAATCTCAACATATAAAACCGACCACGTATGTTGAAAATATAAGGTAAATCCCGTGAGATATTCGCCGTTATTATCTCTGACTACTCCAGCTCCTGCCAAGGTAGTCAGTCGATGCGCCGCATCCGTGTTAATCTTCAAACAATTACTCACAGGTTTATGCCAAACCACCCAACTGCCTTTTCGCGAACAAACCTGTCGCAATGGAATATGAAACGTAGCCAAAACTTGCTGCTCCCTCGGAGTGCCTGGTGTACGAGGGAGTGAAATCCCGTTAAGAATCGTGAAGTGGAACTCCACCTTCTTGATAATACGAGAAGCATTCATCGGGATATCTTGAAATAATGCCGTGCATCGATCTTTCCATATTTCATAAAGACTATAGAAAAAGAGACTCAAAGTGCCAATACCGAGCTGAGTGTCTCTCTGAATTTCATGTAACCAATTCCGAAGCAATTGAAAGCCAATCAAACCAATGTATGGTTTATGTAATTTGTGAGCAAAATATCTCCATACTGCTATAGCCACCTCAGATTGAAAAAATAAATGAATTATATTCTCGGTTTGGGGAGAGACACAACATAAACATCGAGACACAAGAGGAATCCCGCGTGTTTGGATTTTGTCGTCAAGAGGAAGAGCATTCCATTGAAATCTCCACATAAACGCATTAAGACGAAAAGGGGTATATTTGTTCCAAACTATTTCCGCCCAATCTACCACTACCCCACGTTGCCGTCGTAACTCCCAATATTTGCTAACCGAGAACCGCCCAGATGGAGTCTTTGTAAATATTAATTCATCCTTATGCTCCGGTTGAATATGAATTAACTTAATTCTCTCCCATATTTCCGACAAAACAACATCTGCAAGATGAGATCTCATGTGCATACCTGCATTCACGGGTAATAATTCACCAGTAAAATCCGAATCGATAGGGGTCCCGAGCCAATTGTCTCGCCAAAAATCAATTTGCCCCTCCCCAATAATCCATCGACTATGATCGCGCAGCACCTGTATATGAGGCCAAATAGATTTTAACATTTTGGAGCTTAATATAGGTAGAGGACCATAAAGATTACCTCGAATCTTGCTCAGAATAACCCGAGCCCAAAGCGATTGTTTTCGCATCAACTGAAAGGCATATTTACCCCTTAATGCATGCATCGTCTCAACCAAAGAACGAATACCTAGACCTCCCTCACTAACAGGTTTGCAAACCGACTACCAAGAAACCCACGAGGTACGACGATTCCCTTGTTTCGACCACAGAAAAGTCTTCATCAAACGCTCAATCTTTAAAATCACCATCTTCGGAACAACCACACTAGATAATTTATGTATGGGCATACTACATAAAACGGATTTGAGCAAGGTAATTTTACTAGCAAATGATAACAATTTAGCTCTCCATCCATCTAGTTTGACAGCAATTTGATGAAGTAATAAATCAAAATACGAAGCGCGAATATGACCTTTAACTATCGGAGCTCCCAAGTATTGCAGAGGTAATTTCTTCACAGTACAACCCGTCCAAACCGATACCAAGTGCGCACGTTCCTGTGACATCCGTTTAGGAGTATATACGCCACTCTTTTGAAAGTTAATTTCTTGCCCAGAAGATTTGGCATATTCCTTCAGCAGCTTCATGAAGTGGTGCAGCGATCGTTTAGATCCATTGGTAAATAAGAGCATGTCGTCAGCATAAAAAAGATGAGATACGCTGAACCCACCACGACCCACCTTATAAGGAAATATGGTGCCGTTTCTTTGCCATTTATTCAGATTATGAGATAAAATGTGTTGGGCGAGAATAAAAAGCATAGGAGATAAAGGATCCCCCTGCCGAACCCCTCGAGAAGACTTAAAGTAACCATAATTATCTCCATCTATCGAAACTGAATACCATATATTCGAGATATTACGATAAATGAGGTCAATGAACTGCTCATTGAACCCCATATTACGCATAGCTCGAATAAGAAAGCGCCACTCCAAGCGATCATAAGCTTTAGACATATCGACTTTAAAAATAAGATTACCTCCTGGAGTTCGCCGATCAAAATCTTCCACCAATTCCTGCGCTAGAATAATACTCTCATGTATGCTCCGACCCTTAATAAAACCGGCTTGTTCCTCATTAATAACTAAATGAAGAAATTGAGTTAATCTGTTCGCCAGAATTTTGGATACCAGCTTGCTAGTAAAATTAGCCAAACTAATCGGACGAAAATCACCGAAACCTTTGGGCGACTCCACCTTCGGTAAAAGAATCAGCGAGGTCATAGTAACTGAGCGGCTCAACTGGTCCCCCATGAAAAATCCTTGAATAAAAGAAATCACTTCATGCTTCACAATCGACCAACATCCTACGTAAAAATGACCCGAGAATCCATCAAGACCAGGCGCACTATCCGGCTTAAGCTGCTGAACCGCTGCCCAAATTTCCTCTTCGGTAGGAATAGATGTCTGGATTGAATTTATTTCCGCCGTAATCGTACGAGGGTAATCCTGAAATAGCTCATCATTAATATAATAAGTCGATGCTGAAAATAGCGCAGCAAAATGAGCAGCCGCTCTATCCCCAATTATTTTAGAATTGGTTTCCATAGACCCATCCTCGTTAGCAAGAACCACACGGTTTTTACGACGACGGTCCTTGATAATGGAATGAAAAAATGCAGAGTTGCGGTCCCCCTCTTCAATCCACTTAACTCGAGTTTTTTGTTGCAGCAACTCATTATTCCATGCCACCTGTTGAGATAATTGATTCCGACGATCAGCCAAACTATTCTCCAGTTGCTCAGACCAACCACTTTGTAACGACTTCTCCATATCGGCAATCTGCAGTTGAAGATTATGGATAGTAACAGAGAGATGGCCAAAAACCTCCCAATTCCATTGTTTGATCTTCTTATGAAGCGAAGAAAGACGACGTTGCAACTAATAACCCAAGTTACCTGTACCACAAGAAATCCAATGTTGAGAGATAAAACTCAAAAAGGATGGGTGATCAAGCCACATACGTTGAAACATAAATCGACTCTTATGTTTCAATTGTTGTCCCGTAACCATCAGCAATGGAGCATGATCTGAACCCACCCGCGCTAGATGATGAACCTCAATCGAAGGTAACGAAACATGCGCTTCACCATTAATGAGAATCCTATCCAGCCGCTCCCATATTCTTCGACTACCTCTTTGATTGTTACTCCAGGTATATCGATTTCCCACAAAACCAATGTCGGAAAGACCGGCTTGAATAATACACTCGCGAAAATCCTGAATACCCCTCAGATCTGCTGCATTACCTCCCTTTTTCTCATCAAGATGAAGAATTATATTAAAATCGCCTCCAACAATCCATGATCCAGTGCACACGTCACTCAGCGAAAGAATAGTATCCCATAATTGACGTCGCTCATCTCTATTACAACTAGTGTAAACAAAGGTAATCCATGTAGAAGAAATCAAGCCGTGTAGAAGAAATCAAGCCGTGAGCCATCATGGTAATGGCCTGATCCGTAACTGAAAATATGTTAACTGCAAAATCCGTAGACCAAAAAATCCAAATTTTATCACCTGCATGGTAATTTGGATACCCAAGTTTACGAGCATAACCACCAATTTTATCGTTAAGTTGCTTCGGTTCATTAATCCCTATAACACCTAGTTTATGCTCCCGAATCCATTGTGTAAAATACGCCAAAGATTCCGGCTTCCCGATCCCTTGAATATTCCAGAAGAGCACAGACATTAAGGTAATGTAGAGGAGAGATCAGTAATCTGGACCTTTCGAGGTCTACCTGGTTTTCGTTTTTCGACAACTTGCATAGCGTGCGCATTTTCCACCTTATCATTCTCATTATCAGATAAAACACACAGTGTACCCTTATTCTTAATCTCCCCCGTATCTGATTGATAACCCACATCCAGTCGTTTAGCTGCTAGAGAACCCGTCGACAAATTAGGAAGCACAACATTAATCTCCTCAACACGTACAGCCGTTTGAACATCGACTACCGTACCCATGGAATGGTTTTCCGTGATTTGATTTTCCTCAGTGCCTGCCGATTGATGTTCCAAGTCTAGACGAGATGGGCTAGACAATTTTTCACCGTTAGAAAAAATCCGTTGTGCATCAACATGAGTTTGTGTAACATGTGTTGCCACTTGTTGTTCCTCATTACCGAAGTTCTCCACAGAAAGAAGAGCAAAACGGTTGCCGTGTGAACTCGACATAGATTTTGGGGTATCCGTCTCCTCATCACTAAGCAGACCCGTGCCCTTTAGAAGTTCCTTCATATCAGCCAATCTCGAAGGGTCAATATCTGAGCGTTTTAAAATCTGCACAGGAGAGTTAAACTTGTTCGAAATCTTTTCAGCATTATTCTTGTCCGAAGCCTCACCAGATGTCCCAACTACCTTTTCCGAAGCCAAAAGCTCCTTATTTTCTCCTAACGGTATCACCACCTTCTTCGGAACATACTCTGTTTTTGTTTTAGGTTTTGGCACACTTTGAGGTTTAGTTACACGAACATTCTTGCGACAACAGCCTGCCGTATGCCCCAGTAATCCACAATAAGAGCAATACGCTATATTGCCTTCATACTCTACCTTCTGCCACCAACCTTGATCCTTTGAAATGTCGATCCATATTTCTTGTGGGAATGGTTGAGACACATCGATCTCTATGCAGACCCTCGCGTACATTTGATGTGTGAAACCAAGAGTGCGATCATCAGCACTCAGTACAGTACCGAGACACGCCCCAATCCTTTCCAATGATGAAATATTGAAATATTGAATCGGAAGCTTTGGAAAGCGAACCCAAACCGGAGCAATACAACTGTCCTTACCAATTTGAAAATCCGGTGTCCAACGGAATAGACGAAACATGCAATTCTTGATCATTTTGCTGTGACGAGCGAGGGCTAGTTTAGAATCAGATATGGAACCCATATGAATCGTAATGTGTCGTGGATCAAGTAAACCAATGGCTGGTTCATGTTCAAGTTTCCACTCCGACAAAATATGAGAACGAATTTCTAGTAAACTAGGTCGACCAACAGAAAATTTCATGATAATCGTATTGGCGACTTGTTTATTCAGTTGGTCAACCTCCACCGGAGAGAACAAAACTGCTGGAGCATTACCATTATTATTATTATTACTACTTCTACAATGAATATTTTTAATAACAATAAACATTATTATTGTTGTTGTTGTTGTTGTTGTTGTTGTTGTTGTTGTTATCATTATTATCATTATTATTACTTTTATTTTTATTATTTTTATTATTATTTTTTTTTTTTTTTATTTTTTAGTAGTAGTAGTAGTAGTAGTAGATAGAGAAATTTGGAGGAAAGAGAGTGTAGATATTAATGAGGAGAGAGAAATGAGTTGATGGAATAAAATATATAGGTTAGTAGTAGGTTTTAGTTGGTTTGAAAATTGAAAAAATATGAATAGTGTATTTTCAATAGAAATTTGATAAGAAAAAATGGGATTTTCTGGATAAAATTGTGAAACAAACATGCTCTCGGTTTTATGAATGGTATAGAACTGGAAATTGGTTTTGGAAATGAAACCAAACATCCCCTATGTAACCCTAATTAAGTCCATGATGGAAAGTTTCAAAAAATGTGAGTTCCTCCAGATTCCGCGAGAGGCTATTACTGGGCCAATTTGCTATCCAAGATAGGGGACTCGATTACGGATTGCGGTGAACATAAGATAACAATCTTGGCAACATGTGATCAATTCAAGGCGCAGGGGAGTAGACAAGAGGTGAGAAATATCCGAGATCAAGAAGACTGGCGAGCCCCCATCGTTAGTTATCTCAAAGGGAATATACCGCCAGATCGGCGCACCAAAGAACGTATTGAATACAAATTTTACCACTTCTATATGGTGGGAGATGCCGTGTTCAAGATAATGTATGCGTGCGTGGAAGCAAGATGTTTGGAGAAGGACAAAGCTGAGTATGTGCTAAAAGAGGTTCATGAAGGTTGGTGCGGCAGACATGAAAGAGCTCGGTCTTTAGTTCGGAAGTTGTTATGAGCAGGATACTATTGACCAATAATGAAGGAGGAAACATCTAAGTATGTGCGATGTTGTAGCAAATGACAGGCCCATGCCATCATACCAGGGCAACCGGGGGAATCTATGAATATTTTGTCATCACCCTACCGCTTATCACAATGGGAGATTGAACTAGTAGGACCATTTACGACGGCCGTTCGCAGAAAGAGATGTATAATCGTGGCAGTTGATTATTTTACGAAATGAGTAGAAGCGGAACCCTTATCGCGGATTACAGAAGATGAGATGATGAGTTTCACCTGGAAGAAAGTCTGTTGTCGCTTTTAGATCCCAAGATCTATAGTGGCGGACAATGGAACACAATTCAATGGAAAGAAACTAACAAATTGGTGCACAAAGATGAAAGTATCCCAACATTTCACATCTGTAGCTCATCCTCAGGCGAACGGACAAGTGGAGGTCGTCTATAGAATCCTAGTTGACCGCATAAAGATGCGAATAGAGCATGCATGATAAGGTTTGGTAGATGAAATTGACTCGGTGTTATGGTCTTATAGAACGACTACATGTGAGACACCTTTTAGTTTGGATTATAGGATGAAAGCCGTTATATCCGCACACATAGTCATAGCATCATGAAGGATACGCACATATGATCAAGAGAAGAACAACGAGAAGATAAGAGAGGACTTAAGTTTATTCTATGAAAAGAGGGAAGACGCTTATCTAAAGATGATGGATAGTATTAGCCGATATAATTAATAATATCTATTATAAATAAATATTGTAATATTGACATGTATGTCTTCTAGTACCCTTGTGTAAATCGCTAGGGTTTTCACACAGGTAACATATATTACAAAAAACGTGAGAGAGAATTAATTCTCTCCTTCCTGAAATATTCATCTTCTATCATAGTGTCAAGCCTAAATCACTGCCGCCCTTCCTCATCTTCTTCTTCTTCAAAAAAAAAAACATTTCTCGTTCTTTGTTCATTTAATCCACCATGACCAACGAAATACCAACACCCACCATGATTTCTAATCCATTTCATCTTGCTCATGACATATCTAACATTGAAACCCTTATTCCTATCACGGCCTGGACATTAAAAATCCAAACTATCAAAAGTGGAGCCACTTCTTCACCATCACCGTCGGCCTCTTCTGTCTCACCTGCCTTCTTCTCGGCAAAGAAACGCCCGCAGACATCTCTGCCGACGAGTGGCAACGCGCGGATTACCTCCTCCAATCTTGGATCTATGGCACCATAACCGATGACCTCTCAAGAATGGTTCTCTCTGAAACCGCAATGGCTCACGATCTGTGGAAGGCCCTTGCCTCCCTCTTTACAGACAACAAAGACTACTGGGCCATCCAACTCGAAGAACAGTTCAAGTATCTTAAGAAAGGATCTCTCTCCATCCATGATTATTTTCAACTTCTCAAAACCACTGTCGACAACTTGGGTGATGTCGGCAACCCCGTGTCGGACAAGCAACTCCTGCTCCAAACCCTCCACGACCTACCAAAGAATTACGGGACCATTTAAAATCTGATCATATTCTAAACTCCGTTTCCATCTTTTTCTCCAAACTCGCTCTCTACTTCAGATGGAAGAACATCATATTGTTGAACCGGAGCAGACCCCCACTGTTCTCTATGCATTTCGCCCCAACAGCTCCTAAGTTGGCAGAACAGTTCCAACAGTTGGCCGAACAGTCCTAGCAATTCTCGAGGTGTTGGATCTTTGCGTAATCAGTGAGGTGGCGGTCCCACAAACCATCATGGTGGTCGTGGTCAGCTGCGACATCCGATGCCACTATGATTATTATCAATTTTATAACCAATCACAACCTTGGTGGGCCCCTTACACACCTCAGACATCTTCATCAATTCCTGATGTTAGATTAGGTGATCGAAGACCCAACTAATTGTTGTGTTTCCTCACAATACTAGTAAATAATCTATTTCATATTAATGATAAATACCCCATTTGGCATTCTATATCTTTGTCCCTTGCATAAGCATAGATATAGTCCTTACAGTTATTTAATTACTATAAATAGATCTAGTAGAATCGTGAGATTATTTATTGAAGTATAGTTACTGTTAAACGTGGTTCCTAGTCAACGGGTTATGCCACTAATGAGGATATCGGACTTTCCCATTCGAGACTAGTACTTAGTGTATGTGCACAGCGTCTCAACAGTCAACGGTGTGGTGACATTGGCATATATAAGTGGGTGCTCATAAGTAAGTTTATCAGTTCACTGAACTCCCTCAATCTAGAGATCTTTAAGTGGTTCCCAATAATCGAATAGAGGTTTCTATGATATTGTTGTACACCATTAATCCTTAATATCCAGACATCACCATGACTTCACTAGAAGACCAGCTATATCGTGAACTGTCCCTAAGTTCCACCGAGGACCGCCCCAAGGGCCAGTGTTCGTGCAGTCCGATATCTAGTGGGAGGTCTATGCATTGTTGTAGGGGATTCGATCGCCTGATCAGTCATGGATATCATGTGTGTTCTTGAGGTTTATAATCCATGATGTATGTGGCCACAGCTGAAAGTGTCGTGATTAGAGAAATGTGTTTCTGTAAGTCAAACACGAACGGATTATATAATCAAGAACGTCCACACAGTTATTGTACTCATAGAGAAGTCTCGACGAATCAATGCCTCTAGTTCAATCAGTATATATGTGTTGAAGGGATCGTACTGTATGTTTACTATATCAGACGATTCTTGCAGGCACTTCATTTGTATATAGGAAATCGTGACGCGTAGTTGCTAGACGCCAATCTTGATTCGTTGGTTAGTTAAGTTGAAACTAGATTCAACTAATTATAGCTCTAGGGCCGAGTTTAAACCACAATGTGTTGTGGGCCCACGACTAGCTTACACCTGAACCATCGAGGGTCACACTGCTCGTGTACTAGAGATCCTTAATGCAACGAGCTAAGATTAATTAGTTAATCTTAGTGTAATTGGAAGTCAATGTGATTGAGTCCAACATTCGTAATTGTTAATTACTGATGAGAATAAGTAGAGGAAAAGAATTCGACGGAAATTTAATGAACCTTATGCATTGTGAAGTTTCCCGATTTAGCAAGTTCTAAATTAGGGTTTCCAATTTCAGAAATTGGTAAATTGCAAAGTGGTCCTCGTATCGACGAGAATTTGTACATGTCGTCAAAATATAATTGTTATATTTTTGCGAGCATTGGTTTGTTAGAAACGAGCCGAGAAAGAGAGTGGACTTAAGCTGTTGGTCATAGCCCAACTTAAGGTCTGTTAGGGTTTTTACAAGGAGCATATAAATAGAATTTATATGTCATGTGAAAGGAACAAAAAAAAAAACAAAAAACAACGAAACGTAAGAATGAAACCCTAGCCTCTCTCCCTCCATCATCCGTCCACCTTGCAGCCGAAGCCCTACCTCCGCCACCAGCTGCTGCGCCCCCGCCAGTCGCCGCCGCATCGGCATCTTCCTTTTCCCTGCGTTCTTCTTCGTTGTACTTTGCCTATCACGTATCTAGTGCAGTGTTGGTAGTGGATTGAATATACGAAGAGAAACCTAAGAGGAGGAAGATAATTCTGCCACCAACGCTGCCACCAAGGTCATCTCCACGCGCCACCACGCGCCACCACAAGCCGGTGATGCGAGAAGGCAATTTTGAAAAACTTCTCTCGGATTTTCTGCACAGTCCAGCGAGAAAATTCGCCATAAATCAAACATTGATCGGATGGACATGAAATTTTGACAGAAGCTTGAAAACTAATGGGTCTACATTGTTCCAAAAGAAATTGTGCATCCAGGCAGTAACCATGGAGATATTGAAGTCGGAGAAGTCCTTTAATTTCATATCAGAAAAGAGGTTGGATCAGTGGGAGTGGGAAGAGCAGCT